GCCGTCACACGTCCCAGAAGGGAAGGAGTTTCCTCTACAGTAGCACGGTGTCTGTGCAGAGTTTCCCCAAGCTCCCCAGGAGGAGGTGGTTCACTAGCCACACCACTTTTGTCCTCTCTATAAATCGAATCACTCCTGTCCTCCCTTGACAACAGCTTGTAGCCATAACGTCACTAGTGCTAAGTCCAAGGGCTTTAGGACATAGCACAAATTCGGGTGTTCACTAAGCATGATATCACCCCTTAACTATACATATACATATTTATGATGAAGGCCCTTTGTGGGGAGCAAGACTACAAATCCCTAGTGCTTGCAAGAACCCACAATTAAAGGGCCATCCAGAACCTCAAGTTTTTGTCGGCTGAAGTGAGCTCCTCCGCTATGTTCCCAGCAGAGCCAAGCCAGCTGGCAGCCAGATGCCAGACTGCTTTGGGTTGCATGGCATTGCACAGGCAGACACAACAGTCACAACTGTTTTTTGGGTTTTGGTTTGTTTTTTTTTAAGAGACAACTGTTGTGCTGTCAAGTAATTGCATTAATTTCTTGTTGGGAGACAAACCAATGGTGCACAGCCTGGACATATTCACAATACCCATATATGTACAACCTCTGTGCTAGGTTTTGAAGTGGTTACAGTTTTTCTTTTTTTCAGAGCAGCAAATTCTGCCTGGTTAAGGCTTTTTTTGGGATGAGGAAGCAAAACTCTGGTGTATGAAACATCTGAGTGCAGAGAATAGCCTGTTCTCAAGGGGTTGACTTGCCAGCATGATCCCTGGCTGCTTCTCATTAGAAAGGACTTAAACTCTTTTCTACATTGTGCTTGTTGGATTTGAAGCATTGGGAAGGGGCAGGGACGTTTATTATGTTTAACAATTGCAAGAGAGAAATCCTTAGAAAGTCAAGGTAGCTTGCAAACAAAACCAGTCACCCATACCAGACAAACTGGGATACTTGGCCACTGAGATTTCTCCCTCAAAAGGCAAGTGAAATTGTCAATAACCCCAAAATTCACCCAGCCAGCTGTTCACACGCTGCTCTACACATGTACATTCAGCAAAAACACCAGCCCATTCCAAAACATCAAAGGTCTTTTCAGAAGAGTACATCTTGTTATACATAAATAAGAGTACCGCATCTATTATCATTAATGAACTAATACATAGAAAATCCCCACAGTTAATCCTTAGGCCATGCATGCTGCATCCCACATTTATAGCTAGCCATCCTTCAGGTTTCGGTAAGCTCAAGCGCACAAGCAAAGACTCACTTTCAGAGCAGTACTTTTACTCAAACAAGAATATGGTTATTTGTGAGTGAGCAAGACTGCTTCATATCCAGTGGCTGGCAGTCAGTTCGCTCCTGTTCAGAAGCTTCAGTCATCCAAGCAGGGAGACAGAAAGCCAGATCACAGCACACAATGCAGCTGACGACACAGAGCTGTAAAATGCCACCAGCACAAACCTCAAAGAGGAACCTCGGAAGGGTGCAGGAAATAGCAAAGAATGGGTCTCAGCACCTAGGAGGCCAACACCTATCTGTGAAGCTGTTCACAAACAAAAACTTGCACAACCTTTTCCCCACCATCTGTGTAACACTTCTGTAAAAAAGGGACTGAACGCACTGGCTGGCTACCTTACAAGGATTCATTTGAGCAGGAAGAATTAAATTGTGTGAACGTGAGGAGAAAGAATTAAATTGTGCGAACATATCCCTTCTCAGATTGCCAGCTGGTAAATAATTAGGCTTTTATGAACGTGACAGCAGGGCAATGACAAGGAAGCTTTAGTTTCACTGTAATTTATTAGGGGATCAAGTGCCCGACTCCTGTAGGAAGAGCTGCATGGACCAGGCCTTTCACTTAAAATCTTAAAGACCTCAGCCACAATACTATGGTGTTGGTGGACCCCAGTTCCACCCTGGCTGGATATTTGGGCCTCCTCACAAACCTCAGTGCACAGGCTTGACACAGTCACAGTTCTTTGTCCAGCAAATGCCTTCCACTGAAATAATTAAGATCAGGATTAAGGAGGTTTGGCATAGCTTTGGAAGGAAACGTGCAGAAACCCACTGCAGGATCCCCTCCATTGTCTCTGGCATGCTGCTGGTTTCATGAGTATTAAGTCCTTCACAAGCACTCAGTAATAAATTAGGTAACATTTTCTTCATTCTCTACCACTCAAAAAATGTATTTCTCAAACATGAAAGTTTTGCTTTTACAAGTCTAGCTATTAGAATACGTTCATATTTGCAGAAAATCCTTCAAATAAATGTCCTTTAGCCTCCAGCCAAAGCCTCTTGCCATCTGTACGGGCCCAGAGAATCCTGTGAAATACAGTCAGCCAGACCACTTTCCAGTTAGATAGTTATACGGGCAGCTCTGCCTCAGTGGGACTGAAAGATAAAATCCCCAGTTTAATTCAACGGTAAAATTCATAGGATCAAGCTCATAAAGACATGGACAATAGAAACAGCAGGTGAAAGTATGGTGGCACACATCAATACGTAGTGCTGCTGTGGGCCGTGTTCCCAAGTTTGCTTTCATAGTATGAAAATAAACACAGGGGCATGTGTTCTTTTGAAAAATAATATATTTAAGTGTGGGAGATTTTGCCACCTGCTCTCAGCTTTGGCAATTCCTAACGTGTACGCAGAGCTATTCTCTGGGCACAGAGTTCAGAGTTTGGCTGCACTTCCTAGAAAAATCGCTATTATTGCTGTCCCTTGCACATTACCTAAGTACCTCCACTCCAGGCCTGCTATCTGCCTTTGTCTAAAGATAAGTACATTTAGCACAGCCTCGCGCTCATTCCTGCAGGGTTGGAAAGCCAGCCTGCAAAGCTCTAATCTCTGCATGGCACTCAGGACAGAAACCAGGACCTGCAAGAGGGACAACAGTTTTTGCTGTCACTAAGCAACAAAATAGCAAACCTCAGATATTGAAAAATGAGTAATCACGGTCCCTAAAGCTAGGAGATTACCTTTGAAATATCTCAAAAACAATACAACCTAAACGCTTTTTTAATCTGCTTTTTGTTTCCTTTTTTAAATATGTCAATCATAAATCAGGGTTAGATTTCCCTGTTTTCCTCTGCCAAACTGGCAGACAGAACCAAATGCAGTATAATGAATAACAGGGTTCACATATGTTCACGTGAGTCCAGGGGCTGGAACTTGAAAAAAAATCTGCAAATTATTGTGAGATCTCTGAGAGGAAACCAAATCCATAAGGGTTAGCAAGGCTGTGATGATACATCACCAGCCCAGCAGCAACACGTAGCGCTCAGAGATATTTATTAGGCAAAAGATGTTTCTTACAGGACTGAGAATAAACTAATAAAACCATGTACATACAAACACACACACCCCTATCCAATAAAAAAAATAACTACCTGAATAACTGAGAGCAGCAAGGGGAATAAAAATGATGCATGAGCCTATATTCTTGAGAGATCACTGTTTTTAAAATCTAAATTGCCACTCAGATGTTTGAACAGTTACTTCCTGATCAGGCAAGCAGTCTCATTTGGAGAATGTGCTGACATTACGCGTTCACCCCTTCCTTTTTTCAAATGCTAGGGACTTCTAAAATGAGCGGGGACAGAAAAAAGAGAAGTTAGGCAGCTGGATGTGGAATTAATTAACCGCACTGACACTTGATATTTTCTTTCCAGTTATTCGGAATCATTTCATGTCAGGTCAAAGTATTCCACCCAGCACTTAGATACTGGCCGTTTAACTTAAGGACTCCAGCTGAACAGTTTTTTACCTAGTAGGAAATCACTCAACAACAAAAAGGCCTTATTAGGCTGCACTTCACTACAAAAATAGAGAGGAACTGAGCATGCCTTGAGGCAGTCATTACAATATGCCACGGCCACTTCAGCATCAAGCAGAAGTCGCACTGTGCTGAGTCTGTACAAAGCAAGAAGCCTGGGGGGTTTACAGTCCAGCACTCCGATTGTGGGCTTGAAAACACACAGGCAACCAAATAATATCACTCGGCCAGGTGGGATAATGCTTTCTTGATGCAAACAGCAGAAGCAGGACTAACGCCTTGGCTATCTCTAACTTTCAAAGATGAGGACATGTCTCCTGAACCCTTTGTTGGCTTCCCAAGGAAAAATTCAATTCTCCTCCAAAAGTTTTCATCTAAACTACTCCCAAAGGCACCTTCTCTTTTTCCTTCAAATTCCAGGACAAAGCTTTGCTTTGATGAGAAAAAAAATAAAGCAGTAGACAGGAAGGTAGTGCATTAAAGCCCTGTCTTTCTGCTGCTTGCCACTGCGTCCCTCTGCCTAGATCTCGCTGTTCACGTTACACAGTAATTTGAAGCTCTGAGTGGCAAGAGCTGCTTCTTTCTCCTGTGCTGGTACAGCATCTGCAGACACAACCAAGGAGTTCAGTGCTTAAGTGCCGCAATACCACAAATCATTTGGAGTTCACCGGACTGAAGTCAGCTTGCACTGGGTGAAGACCTATCCTGTATGATCTTTCTGCATCTTTCTTGAAGATCAGCTCTTTCCTGGAGAAGTAAACTATGAATTTGGGGAGCTGTCAATATGGCTATTAGTTGAACTTCTAGTTGCAAAACCAGCACAAGCAAGGTTACTGCTCAAGAACACACAACATAGCTGAATACATTGAATGAGATTTGAATCAAGGCCCAGAATCAGGGGAGGGACATCAAAAACATGCCTTAATACCTCTCATTTAATTGCATTATTATTTATTTCTTTCTTCCCTCAGCATACTTCCTTTCAGCCGTAGGGGGAAAGTCCCTCCAGGAGGTCATTGTTAATAAAGAAAAAGGCATATTCCTTGTACTTATGATTGATTAAAATTAATGACTTATTGCATGCCACACAGTAATCCACCCTCACACAAAATTAACAACGTCCACTTTGATAATGTCAGGAATGTAGGCTCTCTTCCCACCACCCCAAAGGATTTTGGCTGTGAAAGGGTCCAATACTTCAAGGTCACCCCAACAGTCTCCATTTTGGACATAATTCACCCCTTTGTTTATACAGACTTGAACAAGGAAAATGGGTGGTTCTAACTTAGGTCAAAACCAGGACATCCTCTCCCCACTGCCAGATGAAGGCACCTGCTAGGGCCATAGTTTCCAGAATCACAGGAGAAACTAAAACAGCCTCACTTTTTCTATTATGAATACTAGTTTGCAGGCTGCAAACAGTAGGAGGGGAAAAAGAAGGTTGCAGACCTCTTACCACGATACAGATTATAGCAGAAAAGATACAGAGAACATCTACACAGTACCTCAGCTTCCTGAAACCCAGGGGCTCAAACATCTGCTTCTACAAGTCCGTTAAGAGACAATTCAGGCTGCTTAGAAATCCCATCTGCTTCATTGTGAGCAACACTGGGGCCCTTCCAAGGGGGTTTCCATAGCCAACATGGGTGAGGGAACATCATGTCAAGGGCAGGTGGAACAATGTGGATGATCAGTGAATTAAGCCAAGAGGCTCTCCTTAAGACACAGTGTCTGTGTAACTGGACATCCCCTAGCAGAGGGTATGGGGAGGAAAGTGCACAGAGGGTTCTCACCATGAAAGAAGTGGTACCAGGGGAAGCACATCCCTTTGCATGAGGCAGAAGCTGGGGTTTGCAGGGAATCCACAGAACAGAGGAGGCTGAGAGAGTGGCCATGGGAAAAAGGAAACGTGAGGGACCTCTAAGCTGCCTCTGTTCTGCTCCCCTCCTGAGGGAATTCCCTCCTCCAGCCTGAAGGTCAGGCAGGGTCTGGAGATGCCTCCAGCTCTGATCCCTTGCTGTTCTCCCTTCCCTGCCTGGGCCTAACCAGCTCAGTCACAACGTGTGACTCACTGCTGGGGTGAGACGAGTTGAAGCCTGTGGCAAGCGGGGGCGATCCCACTGAAGATAGAGTAATTGCCTCTGCAGTCCTCTCTGACCCTGACCCCACATGAAAGCCGCTTTCTCCAAAACCCTCTCACCCATGCTCAAGAGAACAACAGCCCAACCAGTCCCCACAACAAGCCATCCTCTGTTGTGAAGCCCTTGCTGTTGGATTTCAAGTGGTGAAAGTGTCCTGCCACTCTAGGAGTCATTAGTCGCCAAACAGTTGAGATTAGAGATTAAAGATTCTGGAAAGAAAATAACAAGCAGAAGTAAACCAACAGCTGGTCTCAGGATCAGAGAGGAGTTCCAGTCCACGTGGGCATTTGGGGACGTGGCCCATAAGATGAGGGTGGTTGGCTAGCTCTCAACTTCATAAGACAATCCTTGGCTCAGGGAGCTCCCAGAATAAGCGAATGGAGAGAACAGGAAGAAAGAAGTGAGATGATTTACCTAAGGCTCTCAAGCAACCATCAGCAGGGCTGAGACCTGCGACCCAACGGCTGAACCCCAGCCTCGTGCATTTTCTTCCTCTTGGGCGTACCATGCTCTTGATAAACAACTAACACTTGTTTCTGCAGCTGCTACTTCTAAGCTGGAAGCAGTTCTCATGTATCTCTCCCCATGTGTCTATTCCCATTAATATCAATTTAAAAAGAACCTCACTGCTTTTTCATTGACATCCTTGCTGCCAGCCATACACAATTAAACAGAAGAAATAAGAGGCTTTAGCTGTAATTACAGTTTTGCCTATTTTGTAGAGAAGTCATCCTGTGAAGACTGACACAGCTGAATACCTGCCCTGGTCACCAACCACACCAATTCTCTCAGTGGGAGTTTTACAAGGGAAAAATTAAATTGCAGCTGTATAATACATTGAGCGCTCAGAGGCAGGCAATGCCAGTGATTATCCAGCAAAATGACATCAAAAAGCACAGGCACAACAGTGATAACTTCCAAGGGGGCATAAAGTATTCTGAAGAGCTACCCTGCAAAGGACGACAAGGCCCTTCAAGAACATTGTGACAGTCAGGAAAACCTGCCAATCCACTGAAACAAAGTAGTACCTACCACAAGCTCTGTGCTTCATATGTAGGAGTAATGCACTTTCAGTGGACAAAAAGAAAAGGGGCGAGGGTGTATACAGAACCACACATGTATTTCATAACCTTTACTCTTTGGCTTCTCTGCGAGACCTATAGGACCAGACCAGTCCTGATAAAACTTTGCAGACACTTCACATTTGCTTGCAGGTACACATACTCGAATCCAGCCGGCAAGTCCCTCCTTTTCCTCTCTTTCCCAAGCCATGAAAACACACTGGCCAACCTCGCAGTTCAATCCCTGCCTTAATTCTGTTCACCCCAGTGCTCAGGCACCAATCCTACCCTTCCTCTGGCTGCATGACAAGGGAGCACTCTTTTGAACTCCGCTGCCCGAGTGTCTCACTGAATGGAAGCCTGTCATCCCCCCTTCCCAAAAACCCACATATGTATCTTTTCTCTAAAATTCACAGCATGGCCAGGAAACTGCCTTCTTTCCTGTCCTGCCCACCTTGACAATCAGGCAACCCTCCTCGCTGCTGCAAGCAGCCAGGTACGGTATGATATGTCAGCCCTGTGGCTCAGCCAAGCTCAGCACACCTCCTCAGCTGGGATCAGGCTGAGCAAGCCCACCTGACAGACAGCGCCAAGGAGGTTTGCAAGCCCATGGTGAAGAGTGTGACATGAAGCAATGCTGGAAGGCAGCAACGCATCTATAGCAACAAACACAAACCGGGGAACATGGAGCTGGTCTGGGAACCAGCCACACCTTGACTTGGGGCATGACTGTGAGGAAGTCCAGAAATGTTCTCCTGCAAGATATCTTTGCAACGCACCATTCCCAATGCCAAGTACAGAGGAGTCAAGATGAAGCAGGCACAGAAGAGGCGGTAGTCCAGCGAGATGCCAGATTCTGTAAAGGCATCTGGGGGAATGGGTGAGATCAAATTGCTTGCAAACCCCCACAACCACAGCCCTTTCCACAGCTGTGCCCAGGCCAACGTTTTCTGAGTCTCTCCTTGACACCTGTGGGAAAACAAGGGAACATAAGACCCACATGATCACCCTATGGCAGAAGTCCATGCTTCAACAGCACATCCCACGGCAAGTAAACAATCCAGCCGGTGTGGATGCCAGAGCACTACTCAACTGATCTCCATTGCAAGAACTCACTGCCTGTTTAATCAAAGGCCCTGGCTTATAAAAGAAGGGTCTTCTCCACCACCACCCACACACACGCACCCTTAAATAGTAAGCTTTTATCATCCATGTGCCATATACACTTTGCCAAAGGCAGAGGCCTAGCCTGGAAGTTCCCCAGATGCTGACGGGTCACATCCAGCTGGTGTCTGAGACAGAGCTGAGGAAGAAAGCAGAGCCAATTCTCCTTCATCTGGGAAGTATCTCCTTGCCTCTTCTGGATGCTTTAGGGATATAACCCCAAAAATACATGTGCACTGGGGGCTAGCAGGAGATATAAAAGCCAGGGAGCCATCTGCTCTTTCCAAGCTTCCTTCCCATCTGGCCTGACACATCTCTTGGCCCAAAGTTCAGCACCGTTCCTGTGCTCCTACTTGGCTCCATCCACTTCAGCTATTGAGTTCACAGGGGTCCCAGGATGCATGCAAAGGCAGATTCCTTTCCTTCCAAACCTACACCTTCTGCATATTACCCCAGAGAGTTTTATTGCAGGTGAGGGGTGGAAATAGATTTCTAACAGTTAACAGTTTCCCTACTTTTTTCTTTCCTGCTACAAATCAAACCATCTGCCTGTTTTTCTCAGGTTCCTCAGACTTCAGAAGATTCAGAACAATCTTCAAATCCACAGATGCAAACCGAAAGACAACAGAAATGCCCTGGAATGCAAAAAATCATTGCATTACATCTCATTTAGCAGAGGACAGAAAGCCCTGGCTTCACCTCCCTCTATTACTTTCTGCCTCTCTCCAGGGTCACAGGGCCTGTGCACCAACACTTTACACCAGGCGACACTCAGTCTCCAGGTCTATAGCAACCCAAAACTTCAGATCGTCGGCCTCCTGATGGTACAGTGTCAAAGTTACTCCCCATCTGCTGTCCTTAGGACAAAGTGAGCACACACCTCCAAAAGCCCTGAACATCCAGTGCACATCAGTAAGTAAGCCTACTGGTTAGAACTCATTTCTTAGGCCCAGGGCACACTGCAAACGAAGTACATGGGCTTCCTCTAAGCTTAATGAACTGAAGAGGGGCTTGTATAGATAGCAGAGGGGGGTGCAGGGGACAGGTGGAAGGAAGGATGGTGGAGACATCGTGAAGAACATGGCAATGCCTTAGCCATGTGTGTATTTTGTAGGACAGGAAGGCATCTCCTAGCCTTAGGAAGGAGAGTGCTAACCTTCCCTCCTTTTGCACAGCACAAAACTTGCAAAAACTAGGGCTTACAAAAACAATCCAGGCAAGGAATGGGGAATAAATGTAAATTTTCCCAGTATTATACTGTCTGCAGTGAACCTGGCAGCATGTCACAGCAGGGCTATACACCTCAGTCTCACCATGACTTTCACCTGAGCACCTTTGCAGTAAAACCACCTCAGTAACTCTCCAAAAATATTCTGCAGCTCTTATTGCATTCCCAGGTCAGACAAACTTCCCTCCAGCTCACTAGAACAGAGATCTAGTGCCCCAAAGAACAATTGCTTACAGATCCAAAAATTCTGGGAACACAGAGAGAGGAGGGCAGCACTATGAGGTAATCACTCAAGCAGGGGTTTGAAGGACAAACATGCACACAAATAAGTCAGACGCATGCTCAGTTTATTCTGGAACGAATTCATGCCTTTCAGCAGTCCCCGGAGGCCCAGATGCAATGAAACAACAGACCCAGATTCCCTACAAACACCGCAGGGATAGGCACACCTAGTTTATCCTGTTGAGATGTGGAGCAGTTTGCCAGGAGAGGGGATGGACTTGATGCCACTGGACAGACAAACAGCTATCAGGAAGTTTTACTCAGGTTAACCCTGCATGTAGACTGGGAAATGGACAAAATGGACACCTCTGATTTCCAGTTGTTGTATTTTGTATTTCCTGTCCTACCCATATTCTAACAAGAAACTAGACATTTTAGTAGATCCCTTATACCCCAATGCTGAGAAAGTTTCTTACTATACCACATGACAGAGCTTTGCTCTCTCTGTCGATACTCTCAAGTTTATTGGCAAGAATATTTACAGGACATAATTTCAAGTAAATATTACAGAACATGGCCAAAATACAGATTTTCTGCATGCTCTTACACTGCATACCTGGTTTTAAAAGAAAAGGAAAAATCAAACTCCTCAGAGAGAACAAATATTCCACAGGAGGTGTTTCTCAGATAAGAGTATTCCAGCAAGCCGCTCCCAAACAAAACCATGAACGAGGCACAGGCATTACTGGCAAATATCAAAAACGCTGCTGAGAAACATCACAGACACCTTGCAACAACACCCGGGCTGGGCAAGAAGAAGGAAGGAGAAATAAGCACTGAAGGCATCAGATCTGTCAGAAACCACTTCTCTCAGATCTACCACAGCTCATGGATTTGGGTTCTGATGGTCAAACACCCACACACTTTGGAGTTTGAGGAGAAGCTGAGAAAGCCTGTAATGAAAAATAAAAATTGGGATTTTCCACTCATTCTGCTACTGCATCTTGCTCCAGCAAGCATGCCAAGTACTGCCAGCCCCGTTCTAAGGTCATGCTTTCTGCAAAATCCTCACTTAGGAATTTTAAGTAGCAGTTCAGAAATGAGTGTTTTGTACCATGAGTGTACCCAGAAGTGGGTAACCAGCTACTCTGGAGACCAGCAGTGCCACAGTATCTTCATAGACCTGGCCATGCCACCTCTAACTTTCCATCTCTCTCCCTGCCTGCTCAAGTGCTTCTAATCACTATATGCCATCCAGCAGCTTCCTCTAAAATGTGTGTACATGCCATTTATTAAAGGCTAGCAAACACAGATAAGTCAGTCCGTGCTACGAGGCACGACTTGATGTGTGGCTCAAAGGAATGCCTCTCCCCACTTCTCTCTCTCTCCCCAGCTATGCCACTCTTGCTTTTATTTATTTGAGCTGGGATAGCTCAGCCTATCTTAGGGCCTGCGGCAGCCTCACTCAGTGGCAGGATGCAGGGTCTGTTACCACGTGCACTGGTTCTGTTACAGATATCCTACGTGGTCTCTAGCAAGTCCCCTACGATATAATGCTGCTGAATTTATCATAGAGTAATATGGGTTGGAAGAGATTTCTGGAGGTCAAGTCCAGCTCCCTGCTCAAAGCAGATCCAGCTCGATCAGGTTACTCTGGGTCTTGTCCAATCTATGCCAGTTAAACCTTGGAGGCACCTCACTTTGTTGGTTTAAAATGGAAGTAAAGCTAATCCCGCCCCCACCTTCTGGCAGCCTGTTGTATACATTGCTTAATGCATGGATCAGCCCTTGCCTTGCACCCAGCACATATTGGGCCATTTGAGGTTGATAATACTGGGAAAGGCCTGAATTAGATGGAATAGAAAAGCTCGACTGCTAATCATCCACATGGCCTCAAAGTCCTGGACAGCCATGGGTCTACTACAGGATGACAGATACAAACACTTAAGCTCTGAAGACAAGGACTCTGACAAATAAGCTCTAGCAAGCCCGTCTATGGTTAAGACATTTCTATCTCATATATCATGCTCAGAGCTGCAGAGCTTATTCTGTGGATTTCTAACCTTAACAAAATAACAAAAGACATCTGGAAAAGAAAAATCACACCAGGGATAGTACATCCTAAACACCTGATGGTCCAGGTCTAAAAACATAATTTCACCTAGGTGAAATTTCCCCAAGGGAGAAACGGTCCTAAATGCTGGGAGCCTGACTGCAGGAGAAGCTGAGAGATGGCAGTCAGCAAGGGTTGCTGCAGAGTTCAGTACGGCATGGAAGCACTAACGCCCACCCGTGGTTTCTCCCCTAAATGCAGACACATGGAAGCAATCTGCCTCCCACAATATAGGAGAGAAACCATACCCTTTCCAGAACAGTCCAGGACAGGTTTAGAGCAGGATGATGGTCTCTGGACAAGAGCCGGTAGCTGTACTGGCTCTAAAGATACTAGCTCCAAAGCTGGGCTATGCAGAGATATACTAACTTCACACCATCACACCTTTCATTCATGCACCCACAGCTGTCACGCGTACCTCAGGATCCTCTTCAGATGGGCTGTCAGCCTTGGACAGTGCTATATGCTCGTTCCTCACCTTCCCTGGGCCAGGATTTCCGCAACACATACTCCTGCCATGAGCTTCCCATGTAGGTCATACTCATCCCATTTATGTTCTTTGGGACTCCAACAACCAGGGCTTTGCAGACCCTTTATTTTCATTCTGCAAATAGGGAATACAGTTCACCACATAAAACCTGGAGTCAGTCAGGAGGGTCAGAAAAGGGACCTCTTCTGTAAGACAAAGGGCAGGGTTAAGTCCCGGGGTACAACAGGGTTTCTGTTCTCATTGCTGGCTGCTAAGATGACTGTAGCTTGAGCTCTAAATATTCATGCTGGAAGGACTAAGCTTAGGTTAGCTGCTGTGGATGGGTCTGTGCCAAATCGAGCCAGCTCCTAAGAGCAAGATCTTAGGCCCACAGCAAGTGTGTTTAGACCTCCGTCTTCCAACTTTCAGAAAGCACAAATTTGGGCGAAGCCAGCATCTGAGCTTGAATTTGCCCGTTAGCTCCAGGAGTGGAGTGCAAGAACAACCTGGTTTGAAGGCTGCAGCATGGATGAAGATACACAATCGTCATTCCCTGACATGCAAGTGGGGGATAGGAGAGAGAAGGATCTCTTTGTTTTTCATCCTCCAACTTCTCTCACACCACCCAACAGCTTCACCAGCAGTACGACCACGAAGTCTGCCACTACAGACCCTCAGAGCCAGTCCTGCTTGGAGAACTGAAATTCCCTCTCCATGAATTCCTGCATTGTGCATGTCTTTCACCAAAAATTCCGTCATCTCCTCTGGAAAAACAAAACAAGCCAACAACTTCCCCAGTCACGAGAAGATGAGCTCAAATGTGACTTTGAGTGGCTGCACTGAGCCACTCGGAAATATCATGCACTCAGCCAATAAAAGGCAATATCCAGGTGCAACATCACCCACCACCCAAGGTGGAATTTTCCCACCAGCTCAAAACAAAGCTGCAAAGCAAAGAACAGGATGAAGAAGCCAAAATGAGGAAAGGAAGGAAACACCAAATCCGAGGTCACCATCAAAACCAAACCAAATGGAAATCTCCAGGCAGAACCATTAAAGTCAAGAGGGAAAGAAGCATGAACCAAAAGAGATTCAGGATGAAATTCTCAACTCAGAACAAAACAAAATTCATTGACAAACAAAACAAGAGACAAAATGAGACTCAAGCAATACTAAAGAAAGTTTTGAAAAAGAGGTGTTCTCACCAGAGAAATATTTTAAAAGTATTTTATTTTAGAGAAGTATTTACTTTTTATAAAAACTAGTATTGCCTAACCAAAAAGAAACTAAACTCTGATTCCAAACTCACATGTGTCCTCATGCCAGCGGTCAGGTCCCAAAAGTCAGATATTGATACATTTCCAAACTGCAGAATTTCTAAGCCAGTCTAAGGCTGTTTATTTGCCGTCTGGATTTTAAAGCTATAAACCAAGTTTTCCATTGTGTTTGGTTTTGATTTCAACATCCTATCTGGAACATTCAGCTCATGTTTTCATGTTTTTCTAAGTAACCACGAGTGTGAGAAAATGGAGACTATTATGCAATATCTTCCTTCCAGCAGCTGGAATTTTAAGAAAAAAAATATATACAACATCCTGAGACTGCTGACAAAACCATAAGGCTTGGTAACCACTGCAATATGCCATAAAAAAAAATGCTGTCCATTTCCCCTCCACACATAACTCTCTTATTTGTATAATTCAGCCTCTCTTCCAAAGGTTTACTGCAGCGTTCACTGAACCAGTGTACTAAAATGAACTCTTTGTAACTTCTTTAAAGAATTTCCATTAAAGCATGACTTGGATGGCTCAACAAGCAAATATCACTGATGCTACACCTGTCACAGACAAACAAACAACATCTGTGCTTGGATGTGATCAAGACATTGTTTTACGGAGAAGCAGTGCTCCCAAGACCATCACAAATCCACATGGTGCCTGTGAGTGCCAGATTTTATGTTCACATCTCAAAGTAAACTCAAAGAAGTGGAAAATCACAAGTAGACACAGAGCCCCTTAATGATTTCATCAACACCTTAGACAACAAAACACTCCCGTGCTGTGTTTGTTCTGACATGAAATATCTAAGCCTCATGAAAATGCAAGTGCTGGAGCATGTAAATAAATTACAAAGCAAGTTCTCCCGCTCTAGAAGAGCCCTGGCTCTTTTTTGCCTGTGGATATTCACACACAGATGCACGCTAGCATATGCTGATCTTTCAATATGTACGCCCCCAGACTCACCCTAACTTTTGAAACATTTCCCCTGACCTGCACCAGGTTTACAACTGCAGGAATCTTTCTGCTTTGAAGCACCCTTACAGGTCAGACAGCCTTCCAGGATTCATATGTCCATCCAGGGTTTTGGTGCTGTGACGTGGTTGTGTTGCAGCTCTGTTGCAAAAGCAGGATTCTCTGGGGCTAAGAAGCTGTTCTGATGATCACTGAAGATAGACATTCTTTAGATATAAGTTTCTGGTGAAAATCTGGATAGCAAAAATGCTTCAGTCAAAATGCAACCTATTTCAGCTAAAAGTGGAACTCACTTCACAGCTGCTGCAGCATTGGAGCCAATTCTCATTCATGCTAAAGATTCTTTATGCTGCTCAGGAGAAAGACAGGACATTTCATATGGCACCAGCATTAATTCACACCCCATTTAAAATCCCTGCGTGCTGGAGTGAGAATCAGGCTCTGCACCCAGAGCAGGGAGCTCAGCAGGAGGGAGAGAGTGTTTTGCGGATAAGATCTCCGTCTCCAAGCTGGCTGTTCAGTTCTGCTGGTTTGCTTCTCAGTGAGACGGAGCTCACTGCATATGTCAGAAAGCACAAGCAGAGCTTCTGGCTTGCCTTGGCAATTCTGCCTAACCCAGCACTCCCAAGAATGAAACCAATGCCCCGGGGGCCTCTTCCAAACTACCTTGAGCTGCTGCAGTCTCTTGTTGCACAGGGACATACATGGCCGGTCTGCACTTAGGACTGCTACAAGCTTCTATTTCCAGCTTGGGCTGATCTTGTTTGATGTAATGCTGCTGCCCAGTGCACCCAGAGCTGCTCGTGACCAGAGAAGGGATAATGTTGCAGAACAGGCTTGTATCCCCAGGCTAGGATAATGCTTCTGGACCGCTAACTCCAGCCAGGGTCAGAAGGAAGCCACATTGGACTGAAAAGTGCCAGAGATGTGTCCTGAGTTACCTGGAGTAAAATTATTCTCCTGGTAACCACCTGGATTTTGAAGGACTTCCTTCTCTTCCCTGGCACTACGTGACTCAGTTTCCAACAGACACTGCACACAACCTTTGTGGATCCATCACGGGAAAGATCCTAGGCCTAAGAAGAGGGGACTTGCCAGGCAGTGTGTGCTTTCACTCTCCACTTCTGGAGGCGTGGTTCCACTCTCCTCTCTCTATGGCACAGAAACTTTTGCTGACGAGGTCCTCTGACAGACCAGCTGGGGACATGGATGGAAGTTACACCGTTCTTGATGCTGCTTTTTAAGAACCTCCAAGAAAGGACATTCATTTCTTTCCCAAGTAACCTAGTCCACTGGTTTGCTATCCTCACCCTTGGAAACATTTTTCTGATCCCAAATGCTGATGCCCGTTGCTATGATCTAAGACTAATACAGCTTGTCTTCAGCTAGCATGAACACAAAGAACACATTACTCTTCCACCGCTGACCTCACGTAAGTTTGGAGATTGCTATAACCTCTGAAGTCCTCTCTTCCTTAAACTAAACAACCTTCCAATTCCCTCCGTCTTCCCTTGAAGATCATGCTTTCTAGACTAACACGAGTTTTTACCTTTACCTATGGTCCCCAGTTCCCCTATCCTGTGACTGCACATCAGTGCTCAGCATAATGAAACCTGCAGGGAACCTACCTCCCAAGGCAACCTGCAGGACTCCAAGCAAGAAGCAAGACGAGCAGTGAAAATTAAAAATAAAATAAATAAATAAATAAATAATTGCAATAAAAACTCCCACAACACTAAGCTGTGGCACAATGTACCACTCCAGGAAGCAGGGAGCCTGATGATTCTGCACCATCTTCTCCAAGAGAGCACCCTGGGCTTTGAACAGCATTGCCTCTTGGCCACAGTTACAGCCAAGTGTGGCCCTCACTCATCATCTCCACACAAGGTGAGGAGAGGAAGAAGCCAGTCTTCGGGGCAGAGTCACACAGCTAACACCCGCTGGTCTGAGGCTTTAGAGGTAGGGGCTTTTTTAAATATCTGGCTACTGCTGCTTTTGAGGTATGGACTTTAGGTACTGTTGGCGGATAGGTCCTTTGTTGAAGTGGCTCTAAAGCAGGACAAGAGAGACTAGATCTGA